GGGCCTGTAACCCTCCCATGCAGAGCCCCGTGTGTCAGCTGCTCAGTTTGCTTTGCTCCCTCCAACCATGAAGGAGTCCAGCATGCCTCGATCTCCCCACAGTGTGTCCCCATCCCTGACCCTCACCCCAGCAATTCTTCATTTTGTTTGCAGCTTTGACAGGTGCTTGTCTCGGAGGCAGGTCTGAGGTGGTGGGGGGCTGGAGAACCTGCACTCGTAGGTCGCTGTCTCGCAGACACGCTTCCTGCAGAGCATCTCGGCTGTTCACAGATGCTGCGGTGCTTGGAGCAGGTTCCTTCTCTTCCTTTGGGTTTTTGTTTGGGGGGTACTCCTGTTTCTGTGCTCATGTGTCAGCCCTGGCCACTCTTGGGTTGCAAACCCAGCCCTTCAACATACAAAGCACGTGCTCTAGCCCTGGAGTGAGTCCCTTTAAGGTGGCGTTCTTCTGTGTTTCTGGCATCATAGTCAAGGGAGCAGTTGTCTTGGGGTGACATGTTGTCATGGGTGTGCTCCAGGGTGGAAGGATAGGGCTGTGGGACCGGTGGACCTTATTCAGACTCTTCCCTCAGTAACAGACACTTGTGCTTTTGATGCCAAGTGTTTCAGACAGCTTCTCATGGAGAAGTCAGTTGTCAGGCTCAGTAGAAGAGTTCCAGCGCTTGACTAAGGGCTGTGGTATCTGGGTCCTGTCCCATTGTTGTCTAATGCCTGAAGGTTTTTATAAAGCTCTCATTAGGACATTCTAGAAACCAAATTGGTCTCTGCAAATGCAGCTGTTTCGTCAGTGTGTGCCTTCTTGCCACATACCGAGTGCCACTTCAGGGCCACTAGTACCAAGCTGAGGGAGGACTGGTTAGTGCCCACCATACTCCTTAAATTCAACTTGTCAGAGTGATGTCATTCTCCTTACCCCCAACACCCCCATCAGTGGCAATCCTGCTTCTTCCTGTGGAATCACCTTCTGTAGTGTCTGACATAGAACTTTGGGGCCATCTCTGCCTCTTCCTCCTCTTTTCAGTTCCCTTCTGGCATCTTGCCTTTCCTTCAGGATGTTAGCGCAGACTTATGCCCCCGCCCCAGCCGTGGAGGCGCCAAGTGCAGGTGGATCTGGGGGTACATTGACCAGGGTCCTCCTGGGGCTGGCAGTGCAGAGGACAGGTTGGGCTGTGGAAAGAAGAGCAGCTGTCTGTGCGAGAGCGTCTGTAGCATGGGAGGGCACAGTGGACAGAAGCTGAGATCCCACGCGCATGTGCCTGGTGGCACTGGGAAAAGGGGAGTGTGTGTGCAGAGAGGGCGGCTTGGGTAAGACAGTTAGCGCTCCTGGAGAACAGTGGGATCTGGGGTCTGAGGTTAAGTGAGGGGGACAGACAGGGACCAGTCCATGGTAGGGCCTAATAGAGAATTCCTGACCTTGTAACAGCTTCTTTCAGGGGGATACGGCACCAATTGCCTCTTGGGGAAGATTGCTTTATTATGTATTATTGGTTTGGGGACAGTACCCAGTGGTGCTCCGGGGCTACTCCTGGCTGTGTGTCAGGGGTCACTCCCTGTAGCCATGGCAGGGACCATGTGGGGCTGTGCAGGGAATCAAACCCAGATTGGCTACCTGCAAGCCAAGTACCTGAATCCCTTCTGTGGGAGCTCTATGGTCCCTTAGTGCCCATTAAGGTTGATTCGAGAGGGATTTATTAGCCAGTGTTTCTATACTCTCCTCACCCCCAAAAAAGGAACCAGAGAGCTCTCACCAGTGAGTGTGTGAGACCTCCACAACATTGAGTCACATCGTACATAGTTCATGATCCTGGAGGAACCCTCCTGTCACTAATGCTCTATGCTTAGAGGTTTGACATGACCTGGACACATGCAGCCTTTCCAGATACAGGGCCGTGTCCATGTGAGGACTGAGTTTAGAGCTGGGGAGCCTTGGAAGAAAGTATACAGCCCAGGACGTTTGGCTGTCAGGGTGTGCTGGAGTGGTGCTTGAGGGCGTCTGAGGGTGGAGATGCAGTGAGGGGCAGGAGAACATGCATTGTTCATCAAGGCGAGAAGGAAGGGCTGCATCTGTACTTGAAGGAGCGGGTGGAAGAAGGGGGTAGGTGGCAGTGGGATCTCTGGGTCCATGGCCCTCACGTCTTGCTGTGACGTGATTTATACGGGGAGGAGACAATCTTCTATCCTGGCCTTGAGTTGTTTTCCTTGCTAGCCTTAAGGTTGCTCAGATCCTGTGCTCTGCCTGTCACGAACTGGCTGTAATTCTATCTTCCTTTATTTCACCAACAGCTGTAAAATACATACTAATATTAAGAGCAGTCTGTCAACTGACTTTAAGGCTTCCTATTCCAGAACAATCAAGATCCACCTTCCAACCCAAACATAATTAGGCGTGGCCCGAGTTCAGGCTTTGACGATGTTATTGTCCAAGGCTTACACGCTATGTTCTTGTTCCCTTCCTCTGGAGTTAGTTCACTCCTTCTGCCCGTTTCTGATAAGCCAGTCTGACTGGTTGGACTTTGTGTGTCAGCGTCAGGAAGGAGCATTGTGTGGTGCTCAGATGTTTAGAGGAGACCCCAGGAGAGCATAGTGGAGCCCTGCTCAGACCCCTCTTCTCCCCCGAGACTATAAGTAAGCCACATGTTAGCCTTGGGGATGCGAAAGCAGGTGTGCAGTGGGAAAGTCCTCTGTTCTCTGAACCGTGAGTTTTGTGTCCTTAAGGACTGTAAGGAGACAGGTGGCAGAAACTCCTGCGGAGAGCCCTCAAACCAGGAATTGTGCCTATACCGTGCATTGCACAAACTTGATTTGGTGGTGGGTGTGTGTGTGGGCTGGGGGGGGAAATGGGATGGGACCCATGGCTGCGCCCCATTTTAAATTCAACTGAAAGAGAATAAATCAGTGAAGAAACAGGCTTCGGGGAAAGTTCTTGCCTTGCGTGACTTTGCAGGCAAAGAGGATGTTTGAAGTCGGCAGGTGCGTGACTTGTCTGACAGGTTTGGTTGTTAGTAACTAGGGCTCAGAATCTCTTGAGCTTTTTCATACTACTATCAATGGTTCCTAATTAGCTCTGATAATGTGTGCGTGTCTGGAGCAGGCCATAAAGCAGCTGTTTTCATCAGCTGTTGACATGCAAGGTCAGGCTGCAGCCTCTTGCGCTGGCACCTGGGACATCCCTGCCTGGCACCTCGGCTGCTGTTTGCTTCTGCCAACACGAACAGGACTTGGCCAGGCCACAGGAGAGGACTGCTTTGAGGTGTGGGCTTCTTTATATTGTCACTTCTCCTGCCCTTGAGGGTACAGACCTAAGTGCTTTAGGTTCAGTCTTTATGCTTGGATTCTTGTTGCAGTATACAGTCATCAGGCTGCAGAGGTATCTCCTGGTCCCTCTAGCACTACTGGACATGACCAATACATATAAACAGCTAAAGAGGTTAATGCACATTCCTTGCACACAGCCAACCCTAGTCCTATCACTGGCACCGTATATGATTCCCCATGCTCTGCCAGGAGCACAAGAGTCAGGAATAAGCCCTGGTATCACCAGGCTTTTCCCCCAAACCAAAACAATATGAATAAACCATAGCCTCATTTGGCGTGGTTTTGAAAATCCGTGTCAGAGGCTTAAACACCCGATAGAACCTCAAGGAATTTCCTCCAAAATGGTTAGTGAGGAAGACATTTTTCACTCCATGACTCTGGACCTAGTAAGATGATGATGAACTTCCTAAAAACTTCTGCCGTGGGCATCAGTCCTCCGGCTGCATTACGTATACGTGAGCTGATGTGCTGAAAGCCCGTTCCTGTCGGTAGAGGTAGTAGGACAAGTTTAGGCCAGGGCGGAATGAGTAAAGGGCTTATTCTCCTGCTTCGGGGACTTCACAATTTATTATAGAGGAGGACACGAGAGCTCAAAGAACTGCTGATGCTGCCAGACAGAACTAGCTACGTGTGATCCCTTGATGACTCACGTCAACTGGAATCCTTGCTTGTTGATCCCTCAACTTGTGAGGCCAATAGGGGTTTCTTTGGCAGAGGATCTGCCTCCTTGGGGCTGGCTGAGTGGCTCTAGCGTTTGTAGGACAGTGTCGGCTGTCAGGTCAGGAGTATCTGTCACCAAACAGCTACAGAGGCTGTGGGGAGGGAGCAGCATAGAAGTAGAAAAGTTGATTGCTTGGTTGGTTGGATTGATGGTGCCTGTGATAGACCCAAGGCCTCTTGCGTGCAGGACATGCACTTTCTCACTACGGTTCGTCTGTTGCCTCTATTCACCATTTTTGACTCTTTACATATTCCTCCTTGTGGAGGAGTCATATTCATTCCAAATAGGGAGAAAACAAAAAATAGTTTAGAGGTTACAGTAGGTAAGTCACTTGCCTTGCACACGGCCAACCTGGATTCAATAATTTGATTCTCGGCATCCCATGTGGTTCCCCCAATCCTGCAGGGAGTGGTCCCTGAGTGCAGATCTGGGAGTTAGCCCTAAGCACCACTGGGTATGGCTCAAAACCAAACAAAAATGAGTTATTTTAGGAAATAAGGTGCTTTGTTGAGATTTGTTTTTTAAGAGGAAAGGTTAAGTAGAAGAGGAGAAAAAAGAAGATGGGATGAACGAGCCAGCCTGCCTTGTCATTGGACTTTGAGATCAGGGGCCAGAGACTAGCTGGTGCGCTCCCCCTCTGAGGAGGCTGAGCCCCCGGGAGGACAGGCCAGTGCCAGAGCCGCATGTCCTTCAGAGAAGCACACTTGCTCTTCCACATTCGCTGGGCCAGCCTGGCACTGCCAAGCACTTTGACTCTTGGTCTAAAGCTAAACCACTGAAGCTGAGCTCACTGTCTCTAGACAAGCTGACCCATTTCCTGCTCCTGCTTGTACTCCAGGGCGCACGAGACACAGGGAGAGGGGAAACTTTGCCATCTGGGCTCTCACAGAACCTCGGGTGGGAGCATGCCTATGTACGGACACGAAATCACTCTCCCTTTCTCCCCTCACCGCCTTTGGAACCGCAGACTCCGGCCTGGTTGTCCCGAGTGTGTCCTACGAGCTGCATAAAAAGCTGCTGTCAGTGGCTGAAAAGCATGGGCTGACGCTGGAGCGCAGACTGGAGGTGACCGGTGTCTGTGCCAGCCAGATGGCGCTCACCCTCCTTGGAGGACCCAACAGGTAAGGGGCTGCAGGTGAGGAGGAGGAGAGGGGAGAGCTGGGCCTCCGTGGAGCCATGCTTGATGCTGGTGGGAAAAATCCCTCCCCCCGGACCAGTGCCATTAAGGCACTTCTAAAGGACCAGGGGACTCACAGGCGGGCAGAGGAGGACAGAGGCTCAGGTGTAGGTACAGACACACACATGCCAGGGTAGAGGTTCCAGAGACCCACAAACCAGTGTGCACACTCTGATGAGCAGGATGGAGCCTCTGAAGGATTTAGGCAACTATGACAGGATTTAGTTTCATATGTTGGGGGAGTGGGGGAGGGTGGGGCTGTTTTTGAGGTTGGAGAGTTAGCAGCTCAGTGGACTGAATGCCCTCTGTGTGGGCGGCCCGTGTTCGGTCCCAGACTCCGCATGGCCCCTGAGCACAGAGCCAAGTGTGGCCACCAAAAAAAAAAATTATTTTTGTTAAGACTTTAGGGCCAGAGAGAGAGTATAGAGGGCAGGGTGCTTGTTTTTCGGCTGAACGGCTCACTCCCCGGCCTCCCGTAGGGTCCCCTTGCCCTTGAGGAGTGATCCCTGAGTGCAGAGCCAGGAATAAGTCCTGAGCACCGCTGGTGTGACCCACAAAGCAAACTCCCCCCAAAAGATGACTTTAGCTGGCGAGATTGGCTAGATGACTGGAGGAAGCAGGAGAGCAGGCAAGAGACAGGACAGACAGCCAAGCCAGGAGCCAGATGCAGATGGCTGCCAGGAAAGGAGAGTGCGGGGCTGATGAGGGTTGTGTCCTCGGTGGTTGTAGGACGATGGAAGCAGCTGTCACCCTCCATGGGCTCGGGGGAGATGTGGCGTTTGTTTGGAATATGTGTAGTTTGTTTTGTTGCGGGGATGTGGACACAGGTCTGGTGCCAGTGCCTGGGCTCTGAGCCTTGCTGGTATGTGGGCACCCTCTGCTCTGACCTGTGGAACAGTGAAGAGTCTGGCTGAGGTGAGAATTCATCCTTTCTCCTTAGGCTGCAGGGACCACGGGGAGGTGCGTGGTGTGGCTTGTTGCTGTGCTCCGTAACAGCATTGCCACCTTCCTTCCTTGGGAGACCAATTAGTGACTGTCCCGGACCTCAGCCTGCCAGCTGCTTCCTTCTGCCCACCTTCCTGCCTTGCAGGCGGACTGCACCACAGGATGAGCCCGCTAAGCCTCCTTACTGTGGTTTCTGGACCCAGGAGGGTCTTGGCCTTGACAGGAAGCGAGAAGCTTCTGCGTCATCAGAAATGGATGTGGCTGGTTCCCAAGGTCTTGCCCCCATGGCCAGGTGTGCACTGAGCGAGGAACACTGCCTATGGCGGGGCTGCATCCTTGTAGGCAGCCTTCATCTGCCCTGCAGCTGTCCTGGCAGCTCAGTAACAACTGGCCTGGCAAATTGAGAATGATTTAGAACCGCACATTTCATACTTGCTGTGAGCTCCTAGAAGCTGAGGTGGGGGGGGGGGGGGGGGGGAACAGGTGAACCAGAGTACTTCTAGGAAGAGGTGGGCTGTGAGTGAGCTCTTAAAGGAAGGGGGGGTGTCAGTGTGGGGAAAGTGAAGGGCTGCAAGGGCTGGGTCCCTTGGTTGAGCGAAGGGGGTGCCAGGTTTTGAGGAAGCGCAGAGAAGGCTCCCGAGGTGGGGAGCCTTTGTGCCAGAGCCGGCGAGTGTGCCCAGTCAGAAAAGCAGATTCCAGTGCCCGCCTGGAGAGGACTGGACACACTCAGGGCGACACTGGGGTGCTTTCCGGGATAGCTGGCCTGCAGTGAGTTTTGGTTCCCTGGTGATGTTCTGGTGCTCACGTGCTCAGCCGTCACCCCGGCTCCTGTCAGAAGCGCTGAGAGCACTAGGTACTAGGGGGTACACGTGCGGTCAGGTGCACGAACTCCCCACATGCAACTGCAGCTGCTCACACTTCTTGCCATCCATTCCAGGCTGAATCCCAAAAATGTTCACCAGAGGCCTACAGTTGCCCTGCTCTGTGGGCCCCACGTCAAGGGAGCTCAAGGGATCAGCTGTGGGAGGCATCTCGCCAACCACGATGTCCAGGTCATCCTCTTCCTGCCCAATTTTGTCAAGATGCTGGAATCCGTCGCCAACGAGCTGTCTCTCTTCAGCAAGACCCAGGGCCAGCAAGTCTCTAGCCTCAAAGGTGAGTGAGCCCTTCTCTGCCTCGGGCCGAGGCTGCCCGCCTCCCTTGCATTTGGTGGCATGTTGGTGCCACCCAGTGGTGACACGCAGGCACCACCAAGGAAAGTGTGCCTTGCCACAGAGGTAGCTACCGCACGAGGGACCTTCCTGCAGCTTCCTTGCTCCTCACCCCTCACCCTCCATTCTCGCCCACTGCTGGGAGGGTGAGGACCACTTATTCCTCATAAGTGCCTGTGCCGCAGGCATGACTCTGGCACTGGGGAGATGGCACTGGCACTTTGAAGTGCTCCCTTCCTGGAGTCTACCTTTTGGCTGGCAGAGATGAGTGTGAGGCATTTCTGTTAGTGCAGGTGTTGGTTGTGTTGAGGCAGTGTGAAGAAAGCTCCAGGGCCATTGGAAGCTGAAGATGGCATCTCTGAGACGGGAAGACTCGGGGAAGGAAGAGCGGATGCTCAAGGCGTGCCTGTGGGGTTGCTGTGGGGCGTGGAGAGGCGGGATCCAGCCTGGAGAGGTGGGGTGGAGGGTGATGGAGAGCGTCAGGAGTCTGGCTGAGGTGGGACAGGAGCGTGTGTAGGTGAGACGGCTCCTTTAAGCTGCAGAGACATGCGGGAGCAGTCAGCGAGGAGAAGGCAGTCAGGGATACTTGGCATCAGAAAGCCAAATAGAGTCAGCCCGTTGGAGATGTTAAGGCGAAGCCAGGTCCAACTTGTGAAATGCTGACTAGCTCGCTGGAAGTCATGGGGACAAAGTCTGCTCTGGAGTGGGCCTAAGTGGCAATGGGTAGGAAGCGGAGAAAACCAAGAAAGAGCCCTGCCCACGGTAGGGGGGGGGGTGGGGGCCAGCACACTCTGAGCTGCTCTCCGACGGCTTTTTGCGGGGCACTCTCCCCCTGCAGATCTGCCCACAAGCCCAGTGGACCTGGTGATCAACTGTCTGGATTGCCCCGAGAACGCCTTCCTGCGGGACCAGCCCTGGTACAAGGCGGCTGTGGCCTGGGCCAACCAGAACCGGGCACCGGTGCTCAGCATAGACCCTCCTGTGCATGAAGTGGAGCAGGGCATTGACGCCAAATGGTCCCTGGCTCTGGGCCTGCCGCTGCCTCTGGGCGAGCACGCAGGCCGGGTCTATCTCTGCGACATCGGCATCCCCCAGCAGGTGTTCCAGGAGGTGGGTGTCAGCTACCACTCGCCCTTCGGCTGCAAGTTCGTCATCCCGCTGCACTCCGCCTAGAGGGGCTCTGGGCAGGCACGGCTGCTCCTGCCACTGAACTAGACAACGAACGAACGCCTTAAGGACGTGGAACTCCATGGACCTTGTTACAAGGTTTTTCTTTTGGGTTAGTTTCTTCTGTGAGATCAGAACCTATTTAAAACTGCGCCCGCCAGGCAGGCTTTCGCACTGGGTGTGCTGGTGGGCGGCAGGCCACGTGCAGTGGCTCCAGGCATCGCCACACGTGGCCCGATCCTGCGGGACTTTGTTTACAGACATAGGCAGCTCCGACTGTGTTCAGGTTTACAGCCACGGCGCGGGGCAGGTCCTGCTGGCACTCGCTCTGTCCCAAGCTCCTGGCTTTGTTCCCCGCTTTCCCCCACCAAGCCCTTTCCTCTGATCATGTTGAAGTCACTGCCGTGTCTCTTGAGGACCGGTGTGCAGTCTCCATTCATTTTGAGAGCTGTGGAGTCTTCCTGGCACCCCACAACTGAGGTGATTCGGAGGCGTTTGACCCTTTTTCCTGAGCTGATCCGGTTTTCTCCTGGTTTTTTTTCAAGAGTCCTTCCTCCTCCTGTCACTTGAGGCTGGGACAGGGTGGCGTCAGGATGCGACTGTCATGGGATTTTATACTGTTTTCTGTTGTCTTCAGCACAGGTAGCACACAGCTGTGTTACTGTGGAACCACAGTGCCCATCTGGCCAGCAGTGCCCCCACACCCCGTCCTTCGCCCCTGTTGCTAGGGGCTGACCCTTCAGGCCGCAGCTTTAGTGTTCAGTATTGGCGTGGCCCCTGGGGAGCCTGGTGCTGAGCCAGGAGCGGCTCCCTGGTGCTTCAGACCTTGCCCTTGTCTACCCCCTCCTCTCTGCTGTTCCCCTGCACCGTCTTCCCACAGCTCGCTCTGAGCTTGAGTCCTTTGTGGCTGTCCATTCTTGATGAGTAGGCTTGGGTCCTTGCCCCCATTTGAGAGGCCCAGATGAGGCAGCCCATGCCCCATTTCAGAGAGGCCCAGATGAGGCTAGTTCTGGATGAGCCAGTTGGTGGCATTCCGTGTCACATACCAGCTGCTCAGATCCAAGCACATAGCCCAGCCTTTTCTGAGGGCTGATGGGACTGGGCAAGGCCCTGGAGCCCTGGAAGGGGCCCCTTGGGAAAACCGTGTAGTTTGCAAGCTTCTGCTTTGCCCACCCACTCTGGTTACGGGGGTAAGTAGGAGGGCTTACCGAGATCATGGGCACAGGGTAGGCTAGAACACGGGTTCCAGACAGCTTGTCCTTCTCCTTATGGAAGCTTGACTGGGAGCTAATGAGGCCAGCAGAGGGGGCTGGTCCCTCCTCCCCACCCTGCCTCAGCAGTTCAGCTGTGCCACGGGTCTAGCTACTGTCAGCCTTGCGTTGGGAGGCCTGAGCCTCTGCTCACTCAGGGCCATGCGGCTCCCAGCACTGACTCCTTTGTCTGAGCAGCAGTGTTGGGCTGTAGGCATTTTAGTGCACAGCTGTGAAACCAGCCTGGCTCCTGTTAACGGTCAGCACTCCTCCCCGATTTGGTACAGGTAAACGAAGTAGAAGCCCCCTGAGCCAGAGGTTCTAGGGGCTCAGACACAGTGCTCTTGTTGAGGGACCCCTGGGAGTTTGTGCTGGCACCTCCATCTTCTCTCTCCAGGGAGCACTGGGGCCCTTCCTGCCTGGCCTTCCCCAGTGGTGGTCAAGACAAGCTCAGTTTCTCCAGCTCCAGCCGCCTCTTCAGAGGCATCCCACCCGCTGTGTGCAGTCCTGGGTCGGTTGTCATGCGACTCCTGGGGAGAGCGCTGGAAACCAGCACAGAAATAAAGCTGAGCGACAACCCTGTGCCGCGTGGTGATGGCGCGAGGGAAGGAGGGAGGGTGCTGCTGCAGCCCCAGCCCTGGGAGGCACCTGGATTGTCTCCTGCCCCGCCTGGGCTGTCAGCACCCAGACTGCTCAGGGCTTAGGGCTGGGCCAGCTCGAGGTCCTGATGTTTGTTGCTAGAGTAATCACGGCTGCCACCTTCGGGCTAGGACAGCTCTCCTGGGCCCAGGGGACACCACCTTCTATTCTAGTCCTGATGCTGGCTGACCCTTCCATCCCTGACCCATTTCACACTTAGCTCTCCACAGCTGGCTGCTAAGAGACTTTATTAGTGAGGCAAGGGGAGGAAGGCGGCAAGGAGCCGGAGACGGACACACCGGTACCAGGGGTTACAAACAGTAAGAAACACTTTATTATAACTTTACAACATATAAATAGCGTGGGTCAAATCTGTGCTTTCTGGCAGCTGGGCATTGAGTCTCCTGCAGGCTTCTACCTGCCTTCACATTGCACTGTTCATTGGTGGCTCTGGCCCTGGGCCCCGGTGGTAGAGGTGGGAGAAAGGGGCCGGGCAGCCCAGTCCTGCTTTCCATCTCCTCATGTGGGGCCTGCACCTGTCATCTGCTTGGGTTCCGGCTGCTGTGTAAGGACCGCTCCTCTGGGGTCAGGCCGGCAAAGAAGGGGTGCAGCAGGGCCTCCGCCAATGTGATGCGCTGAGCGGGGTCAAATTCTAACATCCTCCTCATCAGGTCAAACAGCTGCACGTGCTCCAGGGTGTCTTGGAGCATGTAACTCTGCTCAGGGACACAAGGTGCCTCAGTGTGATGACAGGGTCGTGGGAAGCCCCAGCAGGTCCCCTGGCTTCTGTCTGGGAAGCCTCGCTGGACAGGGTTGGAGGCGGCAGGGCTGCCTCCCTGGAGGACAGTGAGCGGCTCCTTTCCTTTCCTGCTCGCAATGTCAGGCTACTGGGTGTCTTGCTGGTGTGGTGCCTCTGCCCCCACATGCAAAAGTCCTGACAGATGGGTGGTAATCGCCTCTGCGGAATTCAGTTGTCCGAGCAGCAAGTGCAGTTGACAGAGGCTTCCTGGCCATGTCTAGGTCCTCCCTCCCCCTCACCTCAGTCCTGCCTAGTTCTTCTCAGAATTGAGAAGAGAGGGCAGGAAGCTGCAGGATCTCTGACATCCACTTTGCTCTTCCCCAGTTACATCATAGCCACCCTGTGGGATGGGTCAGGGCTCAGGGACCCTCTGGGGCACCTTGCAAGAGGCCCCATCGTCAGCACCCAGCAGCCTCAGGTGCCACGTGTCTCCCAAAGAACCAGAGCGAGACAGCCTTTAGCTGCCTGGCCTGTCTCCGCTGCATGTCTGCCCAGTGCCTGGGGCCTCCTTGGCATGAGTTGAGCTGGGGGGAGCCAGAAACTGACCTTCAGAGGTTTGCAGTTCTCCTTCACATACCGGCCATCAGAGCTGTTCTCATCCCAAACCAGGCCCCCTTTGTAGAAATACTTCTGCTTCCTGAAAACAGAGGGAGGCGATGGGATGGCAAGTGTGGCACAAGGAGGGGAAAGAGCCCTTCCCCCCAAGCCCAGCAGCAGAATCAGGAAGGTCCTGGGCTGACCCAACGGGAAAGGAATGGCTGCCTGGTCACTCCAGCGCACAACACAACACAACACAGGGAAAGCACCATGAGTGCGGAGGAGCCCTGGTGCCCACTGGCTAACCCTGACAGACTACTTACCTGGTCCGGTGGATCATGTGTGATGGGATGGGTCCTAAGATCTTCTCCATCATCACCAAATGCTCTCGGTTTTCGTGAGTCTGAGGGAGGTAAGGGAGAGCGCAGCCTGGGGTCAGTACCAGCCTCAGCCCCCTTGTGGAGGACAGACGGACAGCAATGTCTTCCCTGCTCCTGAAGCTGCAAGCCCACAATGCAGCTGCAGTCCCAGCCCCAAAAACCATGATGGCCACCAGCCTTTCCTCTCAGGGTCTCAGTCTGTGTGGCATGAAGGTATATGCACCCGCCCACCTCCAAGCCCGCATTCAGGCTGTACTTGAGCCCAAGACTGCTTCTGTCATCATCTCCCAGTGCTCCAGCTGTCCAGCCCCCGTCCTTCCCCTGAGCACAACCCTCAGGGGCCAGAACACTGACCAGTGGGGAGAGGGCTCCCCAGTTCCGACTCCTGCCTCCTACCGGAGCAGCCATACTCAGTTGTGGCGCCTCAGCAGGGAGGCCTCACCTGAAAGAGTGTGAAGCCCCGGTAGTACTCGAAGAGAATGCAGCCGATGCTCCAAACGTCACAGGGCTGCGCCCAACCCAGCTCTAAAACCAAAACAGGAAATCTCTGAGATCCAGCCCAGCGTTCCCAGCCATGCCGGCTAGCCCCACCTGCAGCCCATCCTTGACGAAAGCCCCGTCTACCCACAGCCTTCCTCCCAACGCCTGCCTGCTTTGCCGGACCGAGGGGCTCGACGCTCACTCACCCAGGATCACCTCGGGCGGGCGGTAGTGGCGGGTGGCAACGATGGTCGTGTGATGCTCATGGTCAAAGGTCGCACTGCCGAAGTCGGCCACTCGGATGCTGGTGTTCTTCACCGACTTCTCTTCGCAGCTCTGCGGGGCAGGCAACCGCGTCAGGCGGCTGTTACCGGGGGCGCCCATCCCCGCAACAGGACCCTGCTTTCCCTCAACAATACCTTGTGCTCATTGTAGAGGGTTTCAAACTCAGAATTCACAAACAGGATGTTTTCTGGCTTCAAGTCTGTGTGTGTCAGTTGGTTCTCATGTAGAACTGGGGAGAGGGAAGGAGGCTCTGAGCAGAGCGAACTCGTTCTCCTGCCACTCGGGCCGCATCTTCCACCCCCGTCAGCAGGCCACAAGGGTTTGGGGTCCTTAGGACTTTACTAGTTTCTCCACTTAAAACACCTTCTAGGAGCTAGAGAGGCAGTACAGGGGTAGGGTGCTTCCTTGCACATGGCTGACCCTGGTTTGATCTCTGGCACCCACATACTGAGCACTGCCAAGTGCGCCCCTAAAAACCAAAAAGCCTACCACATTCCAGGACGAGGAGAAAGAGCAATTAGGGTACGAGCCTAGTATATGCCTGAGCCAAGTGCATATCGTGGCACCACGTGCTCCCCTGAGCATCACTGGGTGCAATCCAGGAGGCCTCCCAGTACCAATGGGTGTCCTGAGGCTCCCAGCAATGTCGGGGTGGTCCTTGGCACCCTCCCCTCGTCCTCCCGAATCTTCAACTTTCCATCCTCCTCTGCAAGGGCCAGGCCACCTTGCCTCTGACACAGGCTGCAGTATTAGTTTTGCAGTAGGTTCCCCATATGACCAAGTCAGTGGCTATGAATTGTTAGGCCAAGGGCCACGTGTGAACCTGGCTCTGGTAGGAAGTGTGCCTTTCTCGTTGACACGGCTCCCTGCTACTCAGAATTAATTTCCTGGCTCCCCTGCCTAGGAGGCAGCCCCTCTTCATCTTCGTGCAACTTTGCTTGGGGGCTGGCTCTGGGCCTCACTGAGCAATGTGCTCAGCTTAGAAAAACTCTTCCGGGGGTTGGAGCGATGGCACAGCGGTAGGGTGTTTGCCTTGCACGCAGCCGACCCGGGTTCGATTCCCAGCATCCCATATGGTACCCTGAGCACCGCCAGGAGTGATTCCTGAGTGAAGAGCCAGGAGTAACGCCTGTGCATCGCCGGTGTGACCCAATCTAGCAAAAACAAACTCTTCCCTGTCCCTAAATTTCTGCAGTGGCAGTGGCCATGGGCACCAAGCCTGCACTTCCTCCTTCAAGGTACCGTCTGTCCTGCTCCAGCCCAGGCAAACCCTACATCCAAACATACAACAGGCAGTAGGCAGAGGGGAATCCCTGCAGGTGGGGCCTAGGTATGGACCTGCCAGGTCAGGCTTCCACCTAGAGGGAGGGGTGGTGCCGAGGAACAGACGAGACCCTCCCAGGCATGTCAAGAGCTTTCCGGCTGAGGTCCAGTCTTGTATCCTAGGGCAGCAGCCTGCCAACGCCGCTCCTTCATGCAAGGAGGCCCTGGGTGGCTGGGCTGATTCCAGAGCAGCTATCTGAGCAGAGGCCAGCTCGGGAGCCCCTGCAAGGGATGGTGGCCACCACTTCGGATTCCTACTGCAGACCTCCGAGACAGTCCCAGTGAACTGGTGATCTGGACAGTGAATAGGGGAGGTGGTGGCCCTGTTCCACCTGAGGGCGGACACTTACATCTAAGGGCGTGGCAGAGCTGGTAGGCCATGTGCCGGACGTGTGGAAGCGGGTAAGGCTGGAAGTTATTCTCCTTCAGGAATTCAAAGGTGTTCTTGCCCAGGAGCTCGAAGGCGATGCACATGTGGCCGTGGAAGTTAAACCAGTCAGACATCAAGACGCACAGGCTGAGAGAGAAGGGTGGGTGGAGCTCAGGCTCTATGCTGGCTGCCCCACCCCAGGCCCCTGGGATGAAGCCAGTCCCCACTCCCCCAGGCCACAGGGTCACACACCGGGATGCAGCTACACGTGAAGAAAGAATTGGTTAACCGAGCTTATTTCACCACTGGTGCCACCCAGACCACCTCCAGGCAAAGATGGAACTAACGCTGAAGCTCTGGGCTGGGTCTCCTGCCACCACTGTGATCTCACAGGCATGATCTGGGCCTGCACCTCTGAGCTGCGACAGCCCCTGGCCACACCACACTGCCCTAGGCTCAACCCAGTGCTCCGAGGAACAGAGTCTGAGTCTGGCCTCAGGTTTCTGAGTTGTCTTAGGCTCAGCCCCAACTCCAGGAAGCCTTAAACCATAAATAAAAAGCAGGACTGTAAAGCCTGCATTAGAACAGGATGTAGCCCGGACTGAAGTCCAAAGGCTCCTTCCAGCAAGAAGCAATTGCCAAATTCCCCTGGCTCTGAAGGGGAGAGGAGGGCGCAGTGCCAACCAGGGACACTGCTCGGTTCCGGGGGTCCTAAACAGGAGGGCTGGCACAGACACTGATCACTGAGAGCCTCCCTCCCATTCCTTGCCAGTACTCACAACTTGTTTTCTTTGTCTTTCTCCTTGATTTTTTTGAGAACATTGATTTCTAGCCGGGCAGCCTCTCGGTATTTGCCGACGTTGCGGATGATCTTCAGGGCCACCTGAGACTTCCCTCTGGGACAGGGAAGGAAACAGAGGATGTCACGAGATTGCCAGCCCTCCCTCCCCCACCCCATTCTAACCCACACCCCCAGCCAGCAACTCCTGACAACCACCTCTAAGGACTCTAGGCATGGGGCCTGCCCTGAAGAGAGCACTCTTCAACTGTCCATGCCTGTCCCGGGCTGAGCCTTAGTGTCTGCACCAGTTTTAGGCTGTTACGGGCCAGGGAGATGGCTCACGGGGACAGAGTATGCATGTTTTGCATGCAAAGGTCCCTGGAAGTGACTGACCTTTGAGCACTGAGTTTGGCCCAAAAACCAAACAAAAAGTAGGCTCAGACCTTTATGGTATCAGCTATTGTCAACTACCAACTCCAGTGGAGAGTGGACAGAGAAGGCCTAGCCAGCTGACTGCCAGCCCCACCCTAATTACTAGGTAACCCAACCGGAAGGTCAGCCAGCCCCACTCTGCCCAGCATCCTACCTATACCCTCCGTGGCACCTGTGAACCTTCCTGAGCCTGTGTGTGAAGTCTGAAAGCGTATCCCCTGGGGTGGGGGTTCCAGGACGGAGTGAGTAGTGAGTGGTGCCAACAGCTGGGTCCTCTGTTCAGGAGGCCAGGCCACTCCTTCACCACAACTAGGCCCAGGGGCCATCAGTGAGCACTGAGTACTGGGCACCCCGGGCACCCCTTCCCACTCCCAGCCGACGTGACATCATTTGCAGGACGCCTGCTGAGAACCCACTAAGGTTCTACTGCCAGGCTCAACGGGGTTAAGGAAAGGACAACCAGAGCTCCTGGGCCCAATGAGGCTGGAGACTCACTCCAAGGGTGAGCTACTGGGAGGCTGGCCTTGCCTAAGAAAAGGGCCCCAGGCCCTAGAACAGAGGAGTTAGCTCACTGCCCCCTTCTCTTGGGGGAAAAAAATAAAATGCACTCAGAGCCCCCATGGAAACCTACTTTACAAGAACAAACAGAAAGCAGCCCAAATTGGATTGGGGCTACAGTCTCCCTAGATTGTTTCAGCTAATTCCCATCCCCGAATACTTTCCCACACTTAGAGGCCAGGGCTGTACTCAGAAACGTGGTGTACTCGGGCCTCCTAGGACAGAGCCTGCTCAGCCAACCCCCTCACAAAGTGCGTCCCCCACTACGGGCAGCCTCTGCCAGCAACCCTGGGTCTCGGGATGGGCCCTTCCTCCCACAGAGCTGGAGGCCTGGCGTCTCTGCCAGCCACCACGTGGACTAGTGCCCGCCTGCACTGTGCCCCGGGGTGGGCTCTTGAACCCTGTCTGCCCCTCAGAGAGGTCACAGGCTTTTCTCCTGCAGCTGCTCCAGGTGGCACCTCCCAAGGAACTGAGCTCCCCCAGTGTCAAAGCTCTCATACCTGCCGCCTCTACCTCGAGTCACAGTAGTGAACCTGTCCCGTGCTCAGCAGTCACAAACCAAATCTTCCCGCACTAGGTCCAGTCTTAAGTAGGAGCACGGGCGACTTCCTCAGTCACTGTCGCTACCTCCTCCTCCCGGGGCCCTGGCAGGCGCTACTAATGGCTCTGTGGATGGGTATGGGCACATTTCCTCAGCTCTACAGTAGCAGGAGGGCTGCCTGTGAGCTGCAGGGCTCAACTGAGGCTGTGACACAGCACTTTCTAGCTAGAGCACCACAATGGCACAGTGGAGAGGCCCCCGGAAGCCGGGAAGCCATAGGCTCCTGGTTCCCTAGCCTGGGTTCCCAGCAAAGGGAAGGCAGCAGGAGTTAGAGGATTCAGGCCCGGGACATGTGCATTCTAAGGACCGATCTGGAAAATGGGGCACCACCATCCACTGACCACCAATTCCCTGCCACAATCCTGTGTCGGAAACCCAGAAGCTTCTATTTCAGGGGACCCACAAAACCCCAAAAAGCACAGGTCCCCAGCTTCGGTGCCTGCCTTTAGAAAGACCAAGGTCAGGCTCTGGCAGCCGCAATCCTCAGCCCATCCCGAGAGGCTGGCTCACCTGGCATGGTCCAAGCACTCCACCACCTTGCCAAAGGTGCCTTCACCCAGGTTGCCCACGATCTCATCTAGGAGAGAAAAGAAGCAGGGCATGAGGGGCTGGAGGGCAGAGGGCCGGCAGCTCCTGCAAGTTCACAGCATTCAAATTCTCAAACACAAAAAAGGTTTCTCTCTCACTGCTACGCTCTTAAAAACAGAAGCTGCTAGTGTTTGTGTCATTCAGGCAATTACTGGTGGCCCCGCGAAGGCGCCACGCGCACTAGCGGCCCCTCCGGGCGGGAGAGGCCTCGTCTAACAGGGGGGTAGAAAGTAGAGAGGTAAAGGTTTACGAAAGGTGGCTGTACATCGCTCTTGGAGCCAATCGCCGATCCGGCACACCAGGTGGCCCTCCTTGTCATCTTCCACACTCCGGCTGCTGCGCTTACTGCTCTGTTGGCTTCTCTGCATGCACCGCCCCCCGAAACGCCATCCGACCAATCGCATGGTGGGCGGTTCCGATTGACAGATTGAGGTGTCAGTCAAAGGCAGAGGTGGAGACGGTGAGGAGCCGGTGGGTTGGTTGGTTGGATTTTCCAGATCCCAGCATTTCATAAGGCACACAGCATATATAACGATAGGGATATTGCAAGGGACACGTCAAGACACAAACTGACTTCAAAAACAGAAAAGTAAAAACAGCTACAGGTATGTAAAGAAAACTCGGACATTATCTAAGAGAAAGGCGCCGCAACTGCTCTCCGCTCAGAAAGACAACCAGCCTCTGCTGCCAAGGGGCCAGGTGCTGCCGCGTCAGGCCCTGACTCCCTCTTCTGCGCAGTCTCCCCCGCCCAGGCCCTCCCCGAAGGCTTCACAGCCTGAAGATGCAGTGAGAACGACGCAAGAAGGTGACCGGCCCAGCCCAAGGCCAATCATCCAGAATGGTCAGTGGCCACCCTGGCTTCAGGTGCAGACAGATACTCAGCCTGTCCTTGCCATGCGGCCCTGGATGTGCCCGACGGCTGCCACTCAGAACCAACGTGCAACAGCTGCTCCCGAACAGCCTCTGGGGCCACACTTAACATCACTACCAAAACAGCCTGCCACCAGCAGCCCCACTACACCAGCCTTGAGCAGAGGTGCCTGAGACCCTCCGGGCGGGATGACCTGCAGGCTCCCGAGCCTCACAGCCCACACAGGCCTCCTGCCCGGCTCGCGGCACCCCTGCTACTCACGGGCCAGGCCCATCCCGAGCCTCACGCTGACAGAGGGCGGGCACCAAAACGAAGTAGACACAGACCCAGAATGCCATCTCATGGCAGTATGCAGAGGCCACCAGGCCATGCTCGGCTCCAGCGCCAACTCTCGACCCAAGGCCACTCCAAGAAGTCAAGGGAGAGCCGGGCAGAGACGATGTCTGGCCCCCTCCACGGGTCCCACTGCTTCTCGGCAGGGGCCTCATGCCAAGGGAGCCAGAGAGGGAAGGCAGAGGGATTGGTAGAAGAGACGACAGCATGTAACCTCAGAGACACAATTGCTTTCCTGCCCAGGGCTGTGAGCGCAGTGTGGGTGCCTGCTCTCAGCAGAGCCCAACCAAGCCTCCAGGCTGGGCACAGTGCCAGACTGCTCTTGGCAGGAGGCCCGCAGCTGGACAAGGCCTGGGGCTGCACACCTCTTTGCCGTGTCTTCTCATGCCCCACTGCGCAGGCAGTCAGGCTCCTCAGCTCGCCTGCCCCAGTGCGGAGCTGAGGCTGAAGGTCGTGGCTAGAGGTCAAAAGGAAGTTCCTGATCCGAGCTGAGCAGACCCTTCCCTACCGGGGACTCCAGCCCCGGGCCTGTGGGGAGGGATGTAGAGATGTGGCTGCAAGGCGGTCCGTCCATCCTGGTCTGCACTCCGTTGCACGTCCAGGAGAGAAGGAGCAGGGCGGGCGGCTCCAGACCGCCAACCAGCAGCCCTATCAGCCTCCCTGAGAAGTGTCCCTGGACACTTGCACCATGCAGCCTGTGCCTGGAGCAGCGCGGGGCGGGGACAGACACAGACAGGCTGGGGGGCCAGCCAGGGCCAGAACCAGAGGCCGCAGAGTTGCCAACGCCAAGGGGCCGAGAGAGAGGAGCTGGGCCCCATGCGCGACCAGACGACACATACACACACACATGCACACACACCAACGTGCGTGCGTGGGGCTGGCAGTACTCACCGGGACCAGCCAGCCTGACAAGGCTAGAAAGAGATGAGGCCTCTAAGCCCCAGCCAGCACACTCTGGCCACAACTCACCGAGGAGGCGCTGCTACATGACCTGGTGCGGCGTTTGTGGCAGTGGTGGGCGTGCTTGCGGGTCCGGTATGGCTCCCTCTCCCGTGACCGCCGCCGATGGTGGGAACGCGAAGATCCGTAGCAGTCCTCTCCAAAGGAAGGGCTCCGCTCTTCACACCGGTATGTGTCACTGTCACGGCGTTCCCGGTATCTCCTCTGGTAGGGTAGGCGGTCGTGGCTGCCAAGAGGATGGGGCCTGGGTCAGTGACTCCCACCAGCTGACTCCTACTACCAGGTAAGTGGCATGTGGAGAGGCCTCTCGGAAGGCTTCTGGGGTCTGTTGCAGCAGAAGCATGCAGCTAGGAGGACGCATGCAGGAGTGCATGTGTGTGGTCCAACCCACAGAACCGTGCAAACCGACTCTCCGGTGCCTTTGTGGAGCCCCAGGGCAGAGTGGGAGGGCCTGAAGGCCTCGAATGCCCTGGATGGATGTGTGATCTGCAGAGAATGTTATTTTGATCTGGAGGCCGACAGACCTGGGGACTAACCTTGGCTAAGAGCTGAGACTAGGAGAGACGGTACAGCGGGTAAGGCACTTGCCTTGCACATGGCCAACACGGGTTTGATCCCTAGCACCCTTTATGGTCCCCGCTAGTCCTGTCAGAAGTGATTCCTGAGCTCGGGGCCAGGAGTAAGTCCCGAGAACAGCCATATGCGACCACCCCCTCTGCCCCTACGAGTTCAGTCTAAGTTGCTAGGTCCCACTGGGAACGTTACCAGGAGAGATGCTGGCACAGAAAATGGAGGAAGCGCTCTCTTTCCTAAACTCCTCACTTTTGTGTGAGAATAAAAGGAAGAGTGTAGTTTATAAATACAGATGACTCTAACCAGAATCTGACCATGCTGGCACCCTCCAGAATGGCTCGATTTTTCTACAAAATCAAGAATATATAGCTTGGACAATGTCAAGAACTACATCTGCACTGACATGATCTGTATTTGACTGCCTCTCCAGAACTGCTATACGTAACTGATAAATTTCTCCTGGTGTATTAATCCGGTATCCAAAAGAAGATATATGTTCTCTCCCTCCTTAACTTACCCCTCCTTGCCTCCAGCTTATTTAAAGTATCTAAATTCCCAGAAATCTTTCTAAAGTAAGTGGCTTGTTCATAATTTTTTCGACTTTCCTTAACTTCTGCAGTTAATGTAAATGTAAGGAGCATCACAGAATTTAATCCTATACTAAATTTCTTCCCACATGGGAAGTTCCTTTTTCTCTTCTACTTTCCAATAAACTCTTCTTTCTAAAAACAAACAAAAAAATTTTTTAAAGCATCATAAACCAGGGGCTGGAGCAATAGCACAGCGGGTAGGGCGTTTGCCTTGCACGCGGCCGACCCAGGTTCGATTCCCAGCATCCCATATGGTCCCCCGAGCACTGCCAGGAGTGATTCCTGAGTGCAAAGCCAGGAGTAACCCCTGAGCATTGCCGGGCGTGACCCAAGAAGCAAAAAACAAAAGCAAAACAGAACAAAAAAAAACATTATAAACCAGAATCAGTGTCTACTACTTTACAGACTTAAGACTGGCTTATGAAACATACAAATAAAGTCCTGACCAATATTTTCTAAGCATGAAGATCTAATAAACACTGAATCTGTTTTGTTTGGATTTGGTTTTTCATGGGGCAGGGTGCTTTCTTTGCAACTGGCAGACCCAGGTTCAAAACCTAGCAACACAGGGGCCAGAATGATAATACAGAGGATAAGCTGTTTCCCTTGTGCACGGGCCAACCTGGGATTGATCGCCAACATCCCATATGGTCCCCCAAGCACCACTGAGTAATTCCTGAGTGCAGAGCCACGAGTAACCCCTGAGCATCACTGAGCATCACCAGAAAGCAAAAAGCAAAACAAAAAAGCTGGCACTACAAACCTGATCCCTGCCAGGAGTAAGCCAGGAGCACAGCCAGGTGGGGCCCAGAAACCAAAAATAATAGCAACAATAACAATGGTGTAAAGTGTCAGAAGACTCAAGGGGAGAATGAGGAGAAGCAAGGATGCCAGTAAACACGCAGGTCACCTGCGCCTCCCGAGGCCAGGGGACACAACAGGCGAGGCCAAGGGAGGCACAGGAAGAGCAGCAGTCAGAGGTGCAACCGCCCGCAGGAGAGCTGCCTCCACCTCCTAGCTGGCTCCCCAGCCCAGGCGAGAGCAGGGGCCTTTCCTTCTTCTGGTTCTCTCTTACCTTCTGGACCGAGATCTCCGGGGTGGAGGCTCCCTTCGAGACGGGTATCGCAGTCTCCCTTCATGCTCCCGACTGTATGACCTCCTCCTCTTCCATCGGTAGCTCAGGTATGGGTCTGGCTCAGGGGAGCGGTATCGCTTACAGTGATGCATCTAGGCCACGAGAAATGGAGAACTCGGCTCAACAGGCAGACAGCCGCCTCCAGCCACAGGCTGCCTGAAGAGGAGGCCCATTGTTCTCTTTAGGGGCAGCCCCTCCCAGGGGTTTATGAAGTGAAGAACTCTGATGTCACACTGGTCCAGCAGCAGACAATGGGCAACACCCTCCTCTGCCCATGAACAAACAAACAGCTGCCACCCCAACAGCATCATTAACCTGGAGGCCTAACACTTGGGGAACCGGGAGAGCCAGGGCAGCTGCTGAGGCTGGAGGGAGGGAGGGGACAGTAAACACCAGTGCAGGAGACCTGGGGCACAAAGGAGAACTTCCTGGGCTTCATCCTTCCTGCCTGTGAGGTGCCACAGAGCCAAGGCTCTGACGAGTCAGAAGCTCTTAGAATAGTTCAAGTGCTATTAGACTCCTCGAGTTTGTGAAGCCCAAAGTCACCTTGCTGGACCCATCTAAAGAAGTCCCGCTCAAGACCAAGGCAGTGTGAGGAGCCCCACTAGACATGACACCAGTTCTTGGAGACAGAGGTGCACAGGGTCTGACCAGCATTCCTGAGTCCCCACCCTCTGAGTATCTGGCTCAGCCCGTCTGTGCTATGCTCCAGCTCAGCACAGTAAAGATGCCAGTGGCTCAAGAGCATCCACACGTCTTGCCCAAGGCCAATGGGTCACCCTTAGAGCATCCTCAGTACTGTGCCAGGCGGTGCCTCGCCCCTGTCCACTAGCAGCACCAATCTCCCCTGTCTGTGCCTACTGCTGTGCCCATCTCAGGAGCAGCCAGAAGTGGCTGGCAGTTTGTTTTCCCAGGAGGAAGGGCCGAACCTGGCACTACAGGGGTCAGAGTGATAGTACAGAGGGTGGGGCATTTCCCTTGTACACGGACAACCTGGGTTCGATCCCCAGCATCCCATAGGGTCCCCACAGTGGATACTGACAGGCTGGATCAGTTCCAGGGAGAAAAATGACTGAGGCCAGTTGCCTGGACCACCCACACCCTGTATTCCATGGGAAGGCTGGGCTGGAGCCAGCTTCCAGGGGATGCCAGTCCTGTTTTGCCTGAGCAAGCAGAGACGAAAGAGACACTGAGGCTGTCCCCTCTCTCAAAGGCTGTCAGGAGGGGCTGGAGCGATAGTCCAGCGGGCAGGGCATTTGCCTTGCATGCGGCCGACCCGGATTCGATTCCCAGCATCCCATATGGTCCTCTGAGCACCACCAGGAGTAATTCCTGAGTCTGGAGCCAGGAATAACCCCTGTGCATCGCCAGGTGTGACCCAAAAAGCAAAAAAAAAGGGGGGCTGTCAGAAGAGCACAGGGGAGTAGCTCCCCATCTATGACCAGAGCAGTGGGGCTCATTAAAGAGACTGTGGAGCTTCTCCAAGATCCTGAGGTGGTCATGACCTTCAATCTCCCCACTAGCAGGCATCTTCCTGGCCTCCCTCAAGTCTAGACCCCAGCAACGCTTGGGGATAAACAGCATGTAACATCACTGCACTCTAAGTGTTCCGAAGGCTGCTGTTTGATGACCAGCTGACTAATGCTTGGCTGTTCTGCAATTACCCTAGGTCAGGCGCCCAAACTATGGAACGGGGGCAGGCTCTCTCATCGCACCAAGAAGTGAGGGCCAGGCCCGCCCGACAGAGCAGGTGTGGCCCTGCCAGTCCTCACCAAGCAGATAAAGCACCAGCGCTAGAGGGCTGGCTCGAGTCCACACCAGCCGGACTCCTGGCCAGGATCTAGAAGATTCTTCCCAGCACACATGCCACACAATTTAGCAGAAAGAGCGGGGCTTCAAAATCAGATGTCAGTCTGAACCATGGCACTGCCATTTTGAGCTCTGTGCCGCTGGGCAAGTTATTAGACTCCTCTGACTTTCCACTTCCTCTTGCAGCAAGGGCAGAGTAGTATCTTAGAGGGTTCTCTGATGATTACATCGCCAGGAGGGACCGACCTACACGGTGCCTACATATGCCTTTAGGCGAAATGCTGGGCACAGGGCTGGGGCCACGGGAGGCCCTAAAGGCACCTTCTCCAGGGCATGAAAAAGGACCCGGCTTAAGCCCCTCCCTGAATGCCTTTAGGGGACCGGCGACATCTAAATCCTTCCCAGGGGCCCAGCAGGAAAAGCTCTGGACAGAAACGCCCAAAGTCTATCCTGGAGAGACGGGGGCTGCGTCCTGCCCTAACACCTGGGGCCCCGGGCCTGGGTCCTCTCGGAGATGCCCAGGGCAGCCCCCAGAGGGACGCAGCTGTGCACGACAGCGCTGCCCGCGGGGGAACCTGAACCTGCGGGCCGCGGGGTGTCGGGTGGCCCTCACTGTCCTTCGCGCTCAAGCCAAGGTCCCTGGGCCCGGGACCCCTGGGAGCGGGGCAGGTCGGGGCCGCCGGGGCCCTAAGGCGGTTCCAGAAGGTTCAGCGCGGCCCGGGCGGCGGCGTGGCTCCCCGCAGCCCCTGCGCAGGCCGGGCCCGCGGCCAGGAGCCGGCGCTGGCCCACGAGGCGGACGGACCGGCCCGGGCAGCCGCGGCGCCCCCGCCCCGGCCCGGGATCCGGCCCCCCCGGTTATTCCGGGCCCGGCCGCCGCAGCCTCGGACCCGCCACCTTGCAGGCCGCGGCGGCGGGGACTCGCTCCTGCGCTCAAGGGCACGGGGAGGGGGCCTGGCGCCCGCGGGTCCCGCCCCGCCCCGCCGGCCGCCCCCGGCCCCGGCGCACCGAGCCGCGGGGGCGAGCGTCCGTCAGCCCGGCCGGAGCCCGGCCCCATGCTCCGCGCCCGACACGCCGGGGCCCGGCGGCCCCGCCGCTCCCGAGTCCCGGCGCCCGTAACCGCCGGCGGCGGCCGGGGGCACCCGCGGGCACCCGCGGGCGGGGGGCAGGGCCGCCGGGCCCGAACCAAACTCCAGGCCGCGCGCGCGGCCGGGGCACCGGGCGGGCCGGACGCGGAGGGCCCCGCGCTGCTCCCGGGGCGCCTCGGACGGCGAGAGGCGGGGGCCGCGGCGACCGCGCTCCGGGACGGGCGCCGGCGGGTCAGGGGTGAGAGGTCGGGCCGCGGCCGCAGGGCGCGGAGGGGAAGGCGCGGGCCGCGACCCCCGCGGGCCGCCGCCGCCGCCCGCCCCGGCGCGCCCGCGCCGCCGCCCCCGCCGCCCCCCGCGGGCCCGGCCCCGCACTCACCGTCTCCCAGGCTCCGGCCGCGGCTAGGCCCCGCCGCCCGCTCCGAGAGCCGCTTCCGCTTCCGGCTCCGGCCGCCGCCCGCGGCCGCCCCGCCCCGCGCGTGACGCGGCCGCCGCCGGGGGCCGCTCTAGCCGCCGACTCGCAGGCTCTGGGGGACCGGCCGGCCGGGCGGGGCGGGGCGGCCGCGGCGGGGACGCGGCTCCCGGTGAGGCCCGCGCGGGGAGCGGGCGGCGGCGGTGGCCACGCTCGTGGCCTGGCGGGGGGCGCGGCGCCCGGGGCATCGTTTCTCGGCGCCCGCCCGGCCCGGGGTCCCCGAGGGCCCCGGGAGACGCCGGGGGCGGGTGCGGCTCCGGACCTCGCGGAACCGGCCGGCGGGACCCGACTCCCCGCGCGGACGGGGTCTGGGGCGCGCCGCTGGGCCCCTGCGCCCGGGAGCCACGGGGCCGGGGGCACAGGGGACCTCGTCCGCGGGCACCGCCGTCGCCGGGCCAGCACTGCCCCCACTCCCGTCCGGCCCGAAGAGTCGCGGGGACCCCTGCCCGCTTTGAAGAGGCGGGAGAGGGTGCCCCCGAGCCCCTCCCACCTGCCGCCCGTGCAAATATTTGGGGAGGCCTCGGGGTGCCCGGCCCGCCCTGCCGGCGTCCCCAAGCGGTGGCAGCCGCGTCTAATTGCCCCCACGCCCCGCGGGGGCGGGGCATCGCGTCGGGTCCCCCTCCCCGGGCGGCCCCGCGAGGACGGGGCGAGGACGGGGCGAGCCTGACACGTGGCTGGCGGGGCTGAATTAGCTCGGCCACCCCCTCTGAGAGCTTAAGGGGCTGGAGAGACAGTACAGCGGGCAGGGCGCTTGATCTCCGGCATCCCGGCAGGTTCCCCCAACACCCCCGCCCTGCCAGAAGCGATTCCTGAGTACAGAGCCAGGAGTGACCGCTGGGCACTGCTGCCCCCGCCCCCTCCCCCAGCGTAGAAAAAGAACAAGCCCAAAACTCAAAGCCACGAAACCAGTGCTTGCCACCCAACAGCCTCAAGACCGACCTCTGGCCCCCCTGTAGTCAAGTGCAGCAGATTCAAGTGCACGTGGGTGACCCAGAGATGGGCTGTCCCCGCCCTGGCCCTCACCTTTTGGGAATCCTGCCAGAGACTGTCAGCGACAGTCCTTGAGGTCTCGGGTTTCATCTCCCAGGTGCCTTGGGAGAACTCTGGTCTCCTCCCACACCTCGTGTTTCCTGGGGTTTCCATGACACCCACTAGCCTGGACTGCCTCGGCACCTGCGGGCCCCGGAGCTCCACGGCTCTGCCCCCCAACCATGTGGTCAGCAACGGGCTCCGAGTGGTAAGTGGGGCCCTTCTCCACTCCCAGGAGCTCCCTGCAGGCCAGGCCCCCAGCCCCACCCACCCCCAACCAAGCTGTGCTCTCTTGCCCTTTCTCAAAGGGAATAGGTGCCACCTCCCACCTCCCCTTCTTCAAAATACCGAGTCCAGGGACGCCCTACCTGAAATTCTACATTTAGAATTTCATCCATATAACTTTTTTTTCCTAAAAGAATTTAAAACTAGGCCCAAAGAGAGAATAGCGGTAAGGTTCTTGCCTTACACATTGTCTACCAGGTTTTATATGTGGCACCATGGAAGGTCATCTGTGCCCGCCTGGAGCGACCACTGGGTGTTGAGCCGGAAGTAAGCCCTGAGCACAGCCGGATGTGGCCCAAAATACAAAATAAATAAAGAATTTACAACAAGGGCCAGAGAGATACTACAGGGGTAGGGAGGGCACTTGCCTTGTACAGGGTCAACCCATTAGATCCCTGCACCGCATATCGTTCCCTTAGCACCGCCAGGAGTGATCCCTGAGCACAGTGAGGTGTGGCCCTCCGTACTCAAAGACGGGGAAAAAAATTCAGGGCAGAGACATAATACAGGGGTTAAGGCATCTGCCTTTCATGCAGACCACCCTGCACCACATATGGTTTAATTACAGCACCACACATGGTTCCTCCAAGCACTTTCAGGAGTGAACACAGAGCCAAGAATAAGCCCTGAGCACCACCATATGTGCTCCCCCTCAGAAAAAAAAAAATTATACCTAGAAGGGACCCAGGGTATCAGATAGGCACTTGGAAAAAGCTCTGAGTTGAAAATGGGTAAAACTACCCCCCCACACACACACACACCTCACATACCTCATCCCTCCAGTGCTGGATGACTACAACCTTGGCAATTGGTAGCCAGCCAAAGTCTGACCCTCCTGTACTCACCCAAGTCTCTTCTCTGTGGGCTGAGGTTAGGAACATGCCCACAGTCCCAGAAAGGGCCCCTGCCCTGTACCCCACCACTAGCCACTTGAGTCTCACAGCCTGACTTGTTCCCGTGTTCTCCCTTTTGCCACAACCTCAGTGGTAAGTGGAGAAGGGCCCCACTTAGCACTCTGCCCCCTTCTCTCTCTCCTGTTATTCCTGCCGGGGTCTTCCCTGGAGCATGTTCACCCGCAGCGCTCAGCCCCCTGGCTTACTGCCCTGGGAAAGCTTTCCTGGCTGTCCCCCCCCTCCAGGTGTAAGTAGGTGCTCAACCCAGCCAGGGCCTTTGCCCACCTGTCAGAAAGGGTCTCCCCAGCTGGTGCTCTGGGGGGCAGGAACGGGTCCGCTCCAGGGTCTCCTGTCCATCCTGCACTCAGGACTGCTGAGGCCTGCCTCCCCCCACCCCCCTGTCCCCTGCAGCACTCCTGTCACCTCTAGTTACCGGACTCTGCCAGCCTGGTGACGCACCACCGACGGCAACGCATGCAGGCCGGGGACAGCACAGCAGTGCCCGAGGACCTGGGCAAAGCCGACGTCGCTCTCCTAGACAGATGCTCAGACCTGCCCCCCGAGCGGGACTGGAGGCACTCAGAGCAAGACCTGTGGGTGCAGCTGGCAAAAAACAGGTGGCAGAGGACCAAGCTGGTTGATCACCTCCAGGCAGTGCTGGAGGCCCTGACGGACCAAGCGCAGCTACTGCAGAGGCGAGAACGTGTGCTGAGTCTCGGCAGGTCCCGCTGCGAGCTGCTGGCTGCAGAGCAGAGGGTGAGGCTGCCTCCTCCCCTCGCTGTCCTCCCCCCCACACCCCACTGCCCCCCACACAACCAGCTTCCGGGTTTGTCTCCAGTCCCTGAGCTAACAACCCCGCACCAGGCTGAGTTCAGGAGTGACCATTGCTGGGCTTATGTTAGATGGAGGGCCTAGGAGCCAGGAGCACCCACGGGAGACAGAGGGGAGAGGAAATTCCCCCTGCAGGGCTGCTCTAGGGAACATCTGTGACTGCCTCCTCCGCTGAGACGTGCAGTCTACCCCTGGACACAGGCAAAGGAAGCACGGGGGTCCTAGCTCCCCCCACCCACACACACAGGCCATTTGGAAGTCAGCAGGGAGACAGCTGGTTTAGCTCAGGGGATGAGCTTCCTTCCAATCCAGCTCTGCTGAAGCTGCCTTCACCGGGAGGAGCTGAAGCTGCTCCCACGGTCCCCTGCAGGGTTGGAGTGTCCCCCTGGGGACAGTTAGGGAGCTACCTCCTCATGTTCACTAGTCTCTGACATCCTACAGCCCTGTCCCCCTGGCCTGCTGCTGGAGCTTCCAAAGCCTGCAGCAGCTGGCAGGGAGGGGGTACAGGTGACAGGCCCAGGCTCCACTGGAGGAGAGGCTGCACATCTGGGGCCTATAGTGGGACTATCTGGGCATCCCTTCTGAGCCTGGAGCCGGGCTTCTTGGGTACTAGCCAGGGCCCAGGTCCAGACTGGCCCATCAGCAGGATCCCAGCTGGTCTTATCTCAGTTACTGGAGGCGGCCCGGCCTGCCTCACGCAGCCCCACGTGGAGTCTGCCTGGGGGCTTATCGGTGGTGGCAGACACTGCCCGGCCTGGGAGTGGGGGCCTGCTCCCCAACGGGGCCTTCAGCCTTCCCATCCCCACCCCGCCTTTCCCCAGCCCATGGAATGCTCCCCGGATTCCCCAGAGCAGGAGAGGCACCTGATCCAGAAATCCTGGGAAGCAAAGGCAAGGAGGAGGCCAGAGCAGGACCTGGAGGACAAGTGCGGGTGCCGGGAGCGGCAGGGGGGGGACAGGGTGTGTCGAGGGGGGGCGGGAGGGGAGGAGGGGCGGAGGCAAAGGACGGCCCCTCTGCCCCCAGGATCCTGCTACTGCAGATAGAAGTGGAGAAGACCCAGCGGTGTTTGGACCAACTGAGCCGACACCCTCTGGGCGCAGAGTCCAGCCCACGGAGCCCTGGGGTAGGGTGACTCCGAGGCCTTCTCCCAGGGGTGCCCAGTGGAACCCTGAGCACCGGCCTGGCTACCTCTTCCACCCTGCCGCGGGCCTCTTTCTCTGCTCTTCACTCTTGGGAGGAACTGGGGAAGGAGGCAGTGCCTGGGCTTCTGTTCCGCATCCATCGTGAGCGCCTTTCCCCTTAACCCCACCACGCCTTCAACCTTCATGCCTCCTTGGTTCCAACTGGGAGGTTGAGACAGAGGGTAGGAAAGAACATGTTCGAAGTCATAACTGGGGATGGGGCAGACCCGGCCCCTCTAGCCAGTGGCCCCTATGGATGTGTTGGGCGCGTGCAGTGCGGTGTGGAGGCCGAGTGGGGACCCCAGGCCCCTGAACCAAGCGTGCCTGCAGGCAGTGCAGGGCCAGGAGCCGAGCGCAGCAGGCAGCAAGATGTACCTACTTCCGGACCTGGGGCAGGTGCCCAGGGGGACCGTGGAGAGCTCTGCCCTCACTCCACACACAGCCTTCTTGCAGGAGCAGCTGCTGGTGCTCACCCAGGTGGGTGAGACCACGTCCAGGCGCCCCCGAAGGCAGCCCAGGGCACTCATGCGCCAGGCTCTGTGTATCGGGGCAGGAAAGCAGCAAGGCCTGGGTGGGGGTGGGGAGAGGCCCGTAAGGCCCCCCCGAAGAGAAGGAGCAGGGGCAGCACTGCTGACACAGTTCTGTGCACCAGACCCTCTGCTCTGGAATCAGGGGGAGGAGCCCCCGGGAGAACTGAGAACAGGCACTTGGGGGTCCTACAAGAGGGGGCTGCAGGGGCTGGAGCGATGGCACAGTGGGTAGGGCGTTTGCTTTGCATGTGGC